AACTCAGCTTGTTCCTGAGCATTTTTCATGCCCTTTCTCCCATTTAATGCCACGTCCTTTCCCCCACTTCAGGGTCCCATGTCTCACTGCACATTTGCTCCATGCTCCACTTTGCTGCTGCCTGGGGCAGCACCTCCTGCTGCAGTGTCCCCGGCGCAGAGTCTGACTGGGGCCATTGCTATTCAGAAACCACACAGTACTCAAAATCATTTGCTCAATGACTGAGTGAATTCTCCTGCTCATGTTACACATCAAACTATCTGAAGTATTTTTTAATCTTGCGCATAGTACTGCATGAGATAATAAAATAGACTCACAGAAAGGAGAAATATATTGCCTAAGCAAATCTAGATCCTAAAATTGTTCATATTCTAACAATAGGCTACAGGAGCTGGCTTACCAAAATAATAACCAACTCTTGCCTTTCTCATCTTTTCATAGGAAATAACAAATAATCTTTAACATTGCTTCCTATCAATAAAGGGAAGAGGAATCAAAAAGTGGGGAACAACTCATGGTTTTTGTGGACAGGCTGTTAGACTTCATGAGACTGATGTGTGATGTGACAATAAAAGAACTTCTCAAGGTCAGAGCTGGCTGCTTAGACGACTGGGAAATGATACAAGGGGGTATGGAAACTGGCAAGAAATTTTTAAATATGAATTCCTTAAACTGTTAGCAGTATAAAGTATATTTTAAATGGCCAGGTTTCAAATAATTGTAGATTTGGGGTACTTGTAATAAACACCTTACCAGGAACCCCCCCTTTGGTTTGTAAGATGAGGGTTCTTTTAAAAAGTAATGAAAAGTGGAATTAAAAGATAATTTGGGAAGGAATTTTGCACAGTGGTTAGACTGCTGCTTGGGACACTGTTTCCCATATTTGAGCACCTGGGTTCAAGTTCTGGCTGTGCTCCCAATTCCAGTTTCCTGCTCATGTGCACTCTGGAAGGCGCCAGGTGATGGCTCAAGTATTTGGCTTCCTGCCACTCACAAAGGAAACTTAGGTTGAGTTCCTAGCTCCTGGCCCAGTGCTGGCTGTTTTAAGCATTTGGGGAATAAACCAGAAGATGGGCAATCTCCCCCCACCACTGTGTGTGTGTGTGTGTGTGTGTGCACGCCTTTCAAATAAAATTTTTAAAAGATAAGTGTGTTTTGGTGCAAAAAAAAAGTTTATACATACTTTGGATTTTCCATGAACGTTTTGAAGTCCTCTTATAGTCGTCAATATAATTTTTATCTGTTGTTTCTTTGAGTGAGTGACTAGTGAGTGAATGAATGACTTAGCAGCATAGAACAATGAACTTGGATCATCTCAGTTTCTAAAGTTCAAGAAACTAGAGACAGCCTCCAGCTCAGAGTTCCTCAAAAAGCTGGAATCAAAGATGTCTGCTGGGGCTACCCAAGCAAGAAATTTAATTTTAAAAGAGAAAGAAATGGCCAAGAGATTAATTAGCACATTTTTAAAAGCTGCTGTGTAGAGGGAGAAGGTCAATTATATTTCTAAGTGAGCAAGATTACCTCATTTGTAAAAATGAAAAGAGTATTAAGAATATTTTAAACAGATTCTCAGTACACAGTTGATTCTGAATGAGTAATGCCCATGGGGAGATTTTCTGAAGCACTCGATATCCAAAATCATTTCAACTTAGCTTTAGAATGCAGCATGACCATGTGAGCATACAGTTTCCTCCTCTTAAACCCACTGCAACACTCCCTGTGAATAACCGCCAGGTCTCCTTGACTTCTAGGTGAAAGACAGAAGAGGCAGCTGTCCAGCTCAGCTGCTGGCCTCACGCCAGCCATTTCCACCTCAAGTTTATCCCATTCCTTGGTCCCTGTGCCCCATTCCCTGGCCCTGTTGACCACCTTCCAAGCTCCTTCCCACCTCTAACCTTTGCACAAGCCACTCCTTCTGTCCTGGCCATTCTCCCCATCTCTATACCCATTTTCTCAGTTTGACTCATATCCAGGCCTTGAATTGTACCTCAAATGTGTCTTCATCACCTCCTCACACCCGCTCTTCCTGCTCACATGGCAACAGATTCCTCACAGCCCTATGTACAGACTGTCCTTTTCCATTATACCACTACTTGTAGTTGATAATTATAAATGTATGTATATAATTTGTTTTCTGTTTCCCCATCTGTTCCACACTTCCTAAGGGGATGGACTGTGTCTGTCTGAGCCATTATCTCACCTTCTCCCAGCATAGCTTGGCCCCGGATACTTAATGGTTGGACTCCACACTCCTGGTCAGTTACCTGGCACTGCCCCAGACTCTGTTGGGATAATAGTAGGAAGCAAGTGTCAGTTACTATGAATACGATTTTAAAAATTGAGTTTCGTTTGAAATATACTGTTGCCTAGTGGGTAGCCTAAAAGCTCAAATGGTGTTAACTCCTATTTGTCACTGCTTCAGTCTATCAGTGGGAAATCTCAGTTGCTTGGACAGTATACCTCACTGAAATTATCATTCTGCCACAGTTTGAATGTCCATGTCCGTTCCAAAGTCTATGTTGAAGCTTAATCTCTGGTGCAATAGTAAGAAGAGATGAGGCCCCTAGGAGGTGACTAGGCCATGAGGGTTCCTCTCTGGAGAATGGGATTAAGGCTCCCATGAAAGAGGTTTCACAAAGCTTTGGGCCTTTTTGCCCTCCCATCTTTTCCCTCATGTAAGGACACAGCATTCTGGGCACCACGTTGGAAGCAGAGACTAGTGTACCAAAGACTGAATCTCATGTCACTTTGATTTGAAATTTCTAACCTCTGGAACTGTGAAAAGTTCATTTCTATTGCTTATGAATTACCCAGTCTCAGGTATTATGTACTGTGCCACATACAGACGTACACACTTCTTCTATCAATCATTTTCTTCTAGCCCTGACCCTATTCACTTTTCTGTTTTTCTACAACTAGAGATAGAAGAAAGAAAGAAGGATGGAGTTAACTTCTCCCTGAAAGCCACCTTCCAGGACCAGACATTTAAATGCAATCATTTAGTTCTCATTCTGTCTTCTGGAAAAGATGGGAGGTTGATTTTCTTTTCATAGGAAAGTAAAAATGCTTTGGCATTGAATTATCCATTTATCTTAATGATTCTGGCCATTATTACAGATAATTGCCACCTGGTGACATAGACTTTGTATTTTAAATTTTTGTGGAAATGACCTCTACCAAATGGATTACTTTTATTATCAAAGCCAAATTTCATGAAAATTAATAATAGCTAATTGTATTCTACTTTGGGGTCATGAGTGCTGTATAATTCTAAGTTGGTCATCTGCCATTCATTCATTCAAAAAATATTTAATAATGATAACATTTAGGCCAGGCATTGTCCTAGAATATACAGCACAAGGATCAGTGAGAGTCTTCCTATATTCTAAGCAGTACACAGTCTTATAGAGCAAGAGTATCTAGCTTTCACTCAAAAGAGTATTAGCAAAAAAGAAAGAGACAGAGAGAACCTTCTGAGATCAGAAAATAGAAATGCTCTTCAAAACATTTTAACTGGAATTGGAATAGTAAAAGTTATCAAAGCAGACTTTGAGGATGTGACATCATCATGTCCTTAGGGGTAGGCAGAAAAGGCACAAAGATGATTTTGTGTTTTTCTTTATGAAAGCTTTAAGCTCTTCCAAGTGCTTTCTCTAAAAATGATAGGAACTCTCCCTTCTGAGAAAATTTTTATGTGGTTATAAACATTGTCCCATCTGACGGCCAATAGAATACACTTATATGGTTTTTATAGGTTCTGTACCCTGAAATCAAATGACCACCCACATGTTCAGTGATTCACTAGAAGGGTTTGTGAGACTCAATATGAATTTGCACTCACATTTAAGGGATATTACTGAAAGAATATGCATGTCTAGCACTGTGGCACAGAGGGTAAAGCTGCCCCCTGCAGCACCAGCATCCCATGTACATGCCAGTTCAAGTCCCGGTTGCTCTACTTCCAATCCAGCTCCTTGCTATGTTTTTGGGAAAGCAGTGGAAGATGACCCAAGTACTTGGGTCCCTGAACCCACAGGTTCGGAAAAAGCTCCTGGCTCCTGGCTTTGGGCAGCCCAGCTCCAGATCTTTCTCTCTCTCTCTCTCTCTCTCTCGCTCCATCTCTGTGTAACTGCCTGTCAAATAAATAAATAAATCTATAAGAGAGAGAGAGAGAGAAAAATGCAATGGAATCAACAAGGAAGAAAGAGGTAGAACCCAGAGGAATCCATGTTCAGGCTTCTGATGTTCCCATGAGTAGACCTATTAAGTGTGCTCCTTTCTCTCCCAGCAATAGGTGCAGTAATGTATAAGATTGTGCAGTGTTTCTGCCTGGGAAGCCCACCAGAGACTCAGCACTCGAGTTTTACATTTGCACTGGTCATACGGGTATCCTTTGCCTGGCAATTACCAAAATTCCAGATTTTCAGAACATAGTAGATATTCACTGTAAATTACATTGCCTGTACAGTGTAGGTACAGTGAATCATGTTTATCTATTAGTGAGTGAAGAGAACATTACAAAAACCAAGTTCCCGGAGGCCTGCCAAGGCCAAACTTGCCAGCAGTTCCTCTATAGGTGGCAACGTCAGGCTTGCTATACCATTTGGTGTATCTTCTACCAGAATCAATGTTGCAGGAAACAGAAAAGCTCACATTTGTGACTCTCATTTACATGGCTAAAGAAAATGTAATTAGCCTCAGCTTTTAGGTACTATTATTACTAGAATTATTATTAGCAATTATTTTCAGATAGATACTATCATTGTCATAATGCTATTATTAGTAATTTCAATAGTAATTATTAGTAGTGGCAATATTATTAATTTCTATAATTGATAGAGTCTGTATTATTTCTACAAAATATTCAAATTAATAATCCATTCAATGATATTTAACATTCTTTAAAAGATCCTAACATACTGAGATCATGGTAATTTAAAGAGATTCTGTGTTTGGTTCCTTATTTGATTTTTCTTTTCATCTGTTACCTTCTTTAACAGAACAGACTCTCTGAAACTTGAAGCCAACCATGGATTTCAGACGTGTGAAGGACTATTTCTCCTGGCTCTACTATCAATACCAAATTATTAGCTGCTGTGCTGTCTTGGAGCCCTGGGAGCGATCTATGTTCAACACCATTTTACTAACCATTTTTGCTATGGTGGTGTATACTGCCTATGTCTTCATCCCAATCCACATTCGCCTGGCTTGGGAATTTTTCTCAAAAATATGTGGTTATCACAGTACAATTTCTAACTGATCTGTTTTCATTCTGTGAAACAGCACTGGAGATTCATATATCGCTTACAACTTATTGATTTAGGTGACTCCTAGGTCATTCTTCCACTATCTGATCTGAAAGGCCCACCTCTGCACACACTCTAATCCCCTGCCTGGAGTGTGAGACCAGTGTCTCTTTGGGTTCTCTTGTATGTTGTACATCAGACTACAGATAAGACAATGACTTTACCTCACATACAATCACCATCTTCTCCCACCACAATACATGATTTTAGGAGTTTTTTTCCACTAGCTCAATTTCACTTAAATTTTTCTGAAAAATAGTCTCCTAAGAGACCTATCAGATCCTATTTAAAATGTTCTCTTGGTGGTTATTCTATACTGAAGAACATATTATACGTACACACACAATCTCTATAGGCTACTGTCAAAAGTATCCTATACTTGTTTACAATATATAAAAAGATGTGAGTCAATTAAATGGACCCCCTAAAATCTTATTTTCTAATGAACTGCTGATATCTGAAATTCTTTTACTTCAAATGCAGAAGATAGGTTGGGGTAATCATTTCCTTTCAGACATGATTCCTGAATAGTTTCCAAGGCCTCTAAAAGTCTGACTTTATAAGGGTTTAAAATCAACCATGTTGATTTTAGATAACCAAGTAAGTATTATAATACGAAATAATTTTAAGTGTAAGAAACGAAGTACAATCAAAGTAAATTCAGATATTGTGACTTGTGATGTTCCTTGTTTTGCATGATGCTGGGGAAAATGGAGAGAGAAACTGTTTTCTTTCTGTGCTTTCACTCAGTGGAGAAAAAAAAAGCATGTACTGGGCTACAGAATGAAAAGCTAATAAATAGGCTGGAAGTAATATTCTACCAGCAGGAACTCGACAGCTCCAGTTAAATGCTTTGATACAGTGATTCCTTTGCAGAACAGAAACAAGATTTATTAAATTTCTTTCAAAGTGTTTATCTTAAAAATAAATATGTAATATGTTTTTAATTATACTGCTGAATCAAATATGAATGCCAAAGACCAAGCTTTGCAGTTTTTCTTTCCTCTCAATAATATTAGTGTTAGTAATTCTGGAGGGTAAAAATGTAAATAGACTTTGGACAATATTTGCACCCTTGTTTTTGTTATGGAAAAAAAATTCCAAGGAGAGCTACAGAGAAAGATGTATGGTACACCAAATTAACTTGCACATTTGTGAAAAAAAAGCATGTTTTGAAGAAAAGCTAGATATGAATATGTATTTGTTGACTTTTGAAAAATAAAATAAAGTTTAATTTTTAAGTAAAATTTTCACTTCTTAATTTTAAGTAAACTTTCCATTTCTTTTTCTTCAAATGGCACTAAATATATAGGTGGTATATTATATTTATCCCCCAACTTATCCTTTATTAATAATCCAATGTGACAATTGATCTTAAAATGGTAAAGTAAAACTAACACTTGTCAAAGGACTTCTCATGATGGATGTATTTTCATATTAAAGTACTAAGGTTTCCCACTTACAGCTAAGGAGTCTGGAACTTGAAAAAGTTACATTTCTTGTTGAAGGTCTGTTATCTATAAGAAGTGTAGCAAAGCTGCATATCTAGGTCAGGATTACATGGGGCCTTACAAATATTTGTCACATGGAAGCCCATAGAGAGGACAACAAGAACTAATGAGAGTTGATGGAGTAGGGCCACCAATACAATAGAAAGAAGAACTCCATCAAATAAAAGGTAAGGACATGAGGAGACAGCCAAGTTTGGAGGTCAACAAGCCCAGGTCCCAGCTGTCACCTTTTTGCTATACTGGTGTGTCACACTGGGGTGCTGATTCACCTAGGATTCACCGATTTCTATGCTTCAAGTCCCTCAGGCCTAGTCTGAAACATCGTTTTCACTTTAAAATATTTAGCAGAAGATTCTCAGTTAAGCATGAACTTGGATGCATTCCCAGTTCACCATGATTCAACATCCTTATATACATGGACCCCTGCTAAGTACTCTTGGAATTCAATCACAAAGATACTGCTTTGACCTTCTCAAAATCCTTCTTCTAAAAATAAGAGAGTGAAAATAAACATGAATAGACACAGTGAAGCTTAATAATAGATTATTGGAAGCCCTGCCCCAGGATGTCACTTCAAAGGTAAGCATTACCTCTGAGCATTCAAAATAATACAGGGCCCAAAAAATATAATCAAGCGTAGTTTGGGAAAAATCAATCAGTGTGCAGTGGAGAAGAAAAGAAAGCTCTCCTGCCCTGCCTGCTCCGTTGATTTTTTTTAGATTTGGCAGAGACATGCTTTACCTTGACCACAGTTAACCTAGATTAGAAATGCTTTTTATGTGATTTTCCTTTGCTTCTGTTACTTGGATATTTCAATGGCATGTGAAGAGTTTAAAAAACAAAGTCAAAGTTTCTATAGTTCCAATGGCTTGCATTTGTGACTCACTGAAATAGGAATCATAAAGTGTTCCTTCCCTGGAAGTGGTCAAGTGAATTGCTTTTTTCTGCTTGTGCAACAACAACAACAACAAAACACAAGAAATCAGGCAGTTGTAACATCACATGAGTATGATCAGTCTTTATTGTTTGTGAAAACCAAACTCACTGTCCACATCTTCTGCTGTTTTCTTCTTCACTAACATATTTAAGTCCTGTCACTAGTGCATTCCTGGAAGGCAGGAAATGGTCTTAACCTCTAAATCCCCAGTAACTGATCCAGTACCTGGTTCTGAGTTTAGCAGACACACACCCTACAGAACACTATGTGGCTCCTCAAACCCTATGTCCACACAAAAACAAAGAAGCTCTGTACCTGTGTCGGGTCAACCTCAGAATGAACCATATTCATTCATTCATTCATTCATTCAACAAATTTACTGAGTCAGTCATGAACTGACAGATAGATAGAAGTATATACAGATAAATATGTATGGGATGAAGAAAATATAATAGAAACTAGGTGGTGGGTTTTTAGGAGTTCATTGTGATATTTTCATTACTATACATTTGAAATATTTTATTTAAAAATAGTAAAGAAAAAATACTACTGTGTGCTAGTTGTTGAGTTTGGTGCTAGGAAACAGAGCTGAATGAGAGAGAACCAGAATCCCTGAACTTATGATCTGGCAAACAAGACAAAAAAACCTGAATAATATATTTAAAATATGTATGTATTGTGATAAGATCTTATGAAAGAACAGCAGAGCACCGGAAAGAATGTGGCAGCTGGTTAATGATGGAGAAATATTTGGGTTAAAGGTTGCATTAGAATGGGATCCAAACTTTTCTCACGAAGCTCATGGGCAAAGAGGGAATGACTGTGATGCCATTTACACAGTAGAAGGATGACATCGGCTACTGTATGGAGTGAGTAGGATACAGCCATGAGTCTGGGAAGGAAGACCTGACATAGCTTTCTGCAGAAAGCAGCTAGATTAAGGTGGTGGCCTCAGAATCAGAGTGACGTGGACAGTATGATTTGATATCTATTTGAAGCTAGAAAGCCAGCAGGTATTGCCACTAGTTGGCTCAAAGGAAGTAATTCCATTAAATACACAAGATCTTTTTTTGTTTAAACACACTCAAAGTAAACTTCCTCCTCACTCTGGGAAGGTTATTTCCAAAGCTGATTCAGGTGCCTATAAAAGGGATGGAGTCTTTTTGAGGGGTTGAAAGAAAGAAATTTTGTGTATTTTTCCTCTGTTTTAGTTTTTAATGCTTTTCTGAATCTCATAAATAATCCTCATATGTCTAACTGGAAGAAAGGATTTCAATTTTCCATCATGAAACAAAATGTAATTCTCTAGGTACTGTGCATCATCAAAACTGACTAACCAAGAGTAGCAACAGCGCGGTTGTTCCTCAGGATTAAATTATTCTAACATCCATTCTAGAGTTTGAAAAGGTTCTGAGAGCAAACTTTAGGATTTAGGTTTGCTTTGATTCATTCCTGAATTATTATACTGACAACAACCAGATTAACGACATTGGGAAGACTTAATGATAAAGATTAGTGGGCAGAGTTGAATAATTTTTAGTTTTAGTTATTTACATAGAAATTATAGGAAATGGGAGGCAGAAGACATTCCAAAATAAAATTATGATTGTCTTTACTATATGACAAAACTTATTCCTGCAGCTTTTTTGTAAGCCTTTGTGAGCAATTATAAGATATTCCATGACAATATTCACACTTCTAATAACTTTTGTACATAATTCAAAATTTGAACCACTCATTTTTATAGCTATGCTTTCTTGCCTGTTGGGGGAGTGGGGGAAAGAATCTCTGTAGACTGAGATAGAAAGGGGAAGCCATGGTCTTGAACAGCCACACCTGCACACAGGCAGGAAAATGTCCTAGTGGCACAGCCTTGATGGAGAGGGATGCAGCAAGGATTGCCAGGAGACTTGGAGAAAAGGACAAGGGGGAAGAGGTAGGGAAAAAGAGATATTTGGGGAGAAGAGAAAAATAGTAATAAAGGAAAGGGGAAGGGATGCTTTCCTTTTGTTGTCTAAGTATAAACTAGAAATGTCTGGCAAGTGTCAAAAACCAAATTACAACACATGTACCTTAAAGATTGACTTGTCTTTAGCTATTCTGGAATCAGGCAACAGCTCATTCTATAAAACAGAAAGGTTTCCTGATGAGCTGAGCAGAGGGAGTGGGCTTCACAGACACCAAAGTGTTGATGAAAGCAGAAATAAGGGCAGAACGTGGACTGCTAGTTTCAGAGCTACTGTCCTTATAGGGTTAAAGCACAGAGGCCCTGTTAATCATGCCCACTATAGTAGACTAGGACCCTTCTAATTGGTTGCTATGAATTTCCTGATTTGGTTTTTTGTTTTTGAAAACTGGCCCATTTCAAAGTTCTGGTCTGCTGAAGCCTAGTGCAAAATGTCATTCCAATATCGTGGCCTCCTACGAATTTTATTTAATCCAAGTAAGTGGCAATTCTCCATCCTCATGCCTCAAGAACTTCCTTTATCTCACCTATTTTTTTCCTAACAAAAAATATATCTAAATGTATTACACCCTAAAGGCCATCCCAACAAAGAAAAGCCCAGGACCAGATGGAGTCACTGCTGAATTCTACCAGACATTTAAAGAAGAACTAACTCCAATTCTTCTCAAACTATTTAGAACAAACAAAAAAGAGAGAATCCTCCCAAATTCTTTCTATGAAGCCAGCATCACCTTAATTCCTAAGCCAGAAAAAGATGCAGCATTGAAAGAGAATTACAGACCAATATCCCTGATGAACATAGATGCAAAAATCCTCAATAAAATTCTAGCCAATAGAATGCAACAACACATTAGAAAGATCATCCACCCAGACCAAGTAGGATTTATCCCTGGTATGCAGGGATGGTTCAATGTGCACAAATCAATCAATGTGATACACCACAAACTGCAGAAGAAAAACCATATGATTATCTCAACAGATCCAGAGAAAGCATTCGATAAAATACAACACCCTTTCATGATGAAAACTCTAAGCAAACTGGGTTTGGAAGGAACATTCCTCAATACAATCAAAGCAATTTATGAAAAACCCACGGCCAGCATCCTATTGAATGGGGAAAAGTTGGAAGCATTTCCACTGAGATCTGGGACCAGACAGGGAGGCCCACTCTCACCACTGCTATTCAATATAGTTCTGGAAGTCCTAGCCAGAGCTATTAGGCAAGAAAAAGAAATTAAAGGGATACAAATTGGGAAGGAAGAAGTCAAACTATCCCTCTTTGCAGATGATATGATTCTTTATTTAGGGGACCCAAAGAACTCTACTAAGAGACTATTGGAACTCATAGAAGAGTTTGGCAAAGTAGCTGGATATAAAATCAATGCACAAAAAACAACAGCCTTTGTATATACAGGCAATGCCATGGCTGAGGAAGAACTTCTAAGATCAACCCCATTCACAATAGCCACAAAAACAATCAAATATCTTGGAATAAATTTAACCAAGGACGTTAAGGATCTCTACAATGAGGATTACAAAATCTTAAAGAAAGAAATAGAAGAGGATACCAAAAAATGGAAAACTCTTCCATGTTCATGGATTGGAAGAATCAGTATCATCAAAATCTCCATTCTCCTAAAAGCAATTTATAGATTCAATGGGATACCAATCAAAATAACAAAGACATTCTTCTCAGAGCTGGAAAAAATGATGCTGAAATTCAAATGGAGACACAGGAGACCTCGAATAGCTAAAGCAATCTTGTACAACAAAAACAAAGCCGGAGCCAACACAACACCAGATTTCAGGATATACCACAGGGCAGTTGTATTT